AATGATATTACAGGCATTAAATGCTGTTTTTATACGGTAAGGCTTTTTTTGCAGGTCCTTTATATGCGGGTATGCACTTATTATTTTTTTAATTGTTTTAAAAATTTAACAGGATATGCGGAAAAAGTCCATTAATGCGCAAAATTGTGCACTTAAACAATAAACCGGCTTTTGTGTAAAGTTTTTACAATTTGAAATTATTTTAAAATAGGAAAGCTGCAGAAATACTTAATAAATGTCATAGTGAAATTATATAAATATATATCAATTGTTTGCTTAATTTGGTTGGTACTTAAAATAATATTTCATGCATTTTCATACTGCAGTAAAATTTTTGAATTTATATGTATTTATGAACAACTTTCCAGATTGCATAAAATAATATTCATACATATCTACCACATGTAGTTCGGTGCAACTCTAAGCAGTTACCAAAGACATAGAAATAGACAGAACGATAGAGTCATAGACATAGACGTATAAAAAATAGACACAAAGATAACACATACCCATAGACACATAAGCATAGACACATAAGCATAGACACATAGAAATAGACATATAGAAGTAGACATATAGGCATAGCCACATAGGCATAGACAAGGAGACACAGATATTGAATTCCAATAGTTTAATGACATATTGAGGATAAATAGATTAAGAAATTAACATTGTGAAAAATATTACAGCTTTGGGATAAGTCCACTCAACAAATTGCATAGGTTAAGAATAAAATTAAAGATTTATAGCAACATCGCACGAAAAAACACGAACAATAACTTTACACATCACATGCATTAAAAGCAGGATATCATGCAACAATGATCACTTCACCAAGAACATAAGTCGTGTCTCAAGTCCATGGTTACCGTAGCTAAGTTACACAAAATATACTTCAAATTCACCCTGCTATTTGTTTTAGCCCCTAGCACTTACCACCTGTTCGCAGACCTCAAACAATGATCTGGAGAAAGAGAAAGATTTGGCTCCGATAAAACTGAGAAACTAAGGCTTATTTTTGGCCTAAAGATAAATAATTTCACAAGAGAGGTGTTGAAATATAAGAGAATTGTTGAAATAATTGCATTATTTTTGAAGAAAATTCTGCTATTTATCTTACAAAAATAGAGTGCGAATAGAAAAAATTTAAGTAATTTAACATGACTAAGTAAACTATATACTCTTGACTAAACTAAACTTAACTTATGTACTATAGGTTAAAAATATTTATCAAAAATATAATAATAATAAAAAATATGTATCCATATCTATTTTTTTTTGAATGCCAAAAGAGTATCAAATTTGGTGCTTTAACATAACATTAATGTGTTTTTTAACAGCACTAATATTTGCCGTTCTCTAATTATTTCTATATAACCTCTAATGCAATCTTAATAGAAATATTGAATACACTAACTTTAATAAAAAAATTAATGAGAAACTGAAAAGTTTCCTTGATGGCTTGTTTACTTATCTGTATGTTATGTAATGATAGACTTATTGTAGAGTGGAAATAAAAAGTTTGCGAAGATGTGGAGTTGCATTAATCCTTTCATATAAAATACAATAATAATGTATAATTCAATTAATTATTGTTTTTTGCATTATATTCATTCGTTTATCTTTAATATGAGAATACAATGGAGTAAGGTACCCTGTATTTAAATTAACTTTACTCAAGTGTAAATGAAAAACTTATCGCTACTACGTTTAATCGTACGTTTTTTCCGTGATTGTTCAAGTGCATTTCCCGATGCAAATATGTGAATGCAGGTGCAATTCTTTCATATGGAATCATATGATATATGTATTCATGAATACAATTTTTGTTTTTTAAATTCACTATAATCATTTTTAATTAATGAGAACTTAAGTATTTTAACAATTACGATTGTAAAAATCCCTTATAAACTTTGAGGCAGTGTAGTTAAAATATATAAGAGTTAAATCTATTATTTTTTTATATTTCTATATTTGATTATAACAAATTAACATTAATTCAACAATGCAATTTTATTTATGGAATATTCATTTCTCTTATAAAATTCCGAAAAATTAAATTAAATCATAATTTTACTGCAACACGAAAATGATTATTAAAATAGCGAAATCCATACGTAAGCACTTTGGTAGGCACACCTGCTTAACTTTGTCTTATCACTGAATTTATACTTTTTATTGCTTCCTGCTGGTTGCATGGCAAGGACAGCGATAAGGATATTCGCATTACAGAATATAGGCACGTTCAGGCTGTTAATAATTAATTTTTCTGCTTTTTGTAGCTTTTCGCAGGGAAACGTGCCACTACTAAAACCGACGTAAGTCGACTTTTAAACTTTCATAGAAATTTTTATATATCGCAGTAAAATAATGCAAAAAAAAACAAAATTTGCCATTTTTTATTAATATTTTCAATGCGTCTTAGTTGGCTGACATCGCACTCTTACGAACATTTTTTATAAGCTGTCAATTCGTTGAACTTACAGCAAATGCTGCATGCTCCTTACACCTCCTTGACACGTCCTTTATTCTTTGGGCATTGTTTATATATTTAATATATGTATTTGCTCTTAATGGAGAATAATATGCATTTAAGTTCAATATTTAGTTTGATATGCTTTAAGATTTGATGTGATGTACTTTAAATTCTATAAATATTTAATATAATAAAATAAGTTAACCTAAATCAACTCAAAATACATCCAACTTTAAAATTACTAATCGGTATTTACTAGCAAAAATTATCTATCACCATCATATCATCCAGCACTATCATAAGTTATAATCAAAAAGTTGTGAGACAACGTATTGGGTAAAAAATTTTCTTATTTTATGTGATTTTAATACCTTCCATGAATACAAAAAGTTCAAAAATTCTTTGATTTGTTTTTTACCATAGAAGATTATGCAAACTGAGTTTTTTTTATACTGAATTAATTAAAGATGTGAAGACTCAACGATGTGTAGGCATCCGTATGCAAATCCAACACTCTTATACTCTTATTGCCCCGTAGAGATATCGTAGGTCATTGCAGATTAGGTAACCATGCTAGAAGTTTGAATCTTTCTTTCAATTATAGCTGTTGCAGTTGTGGAGAGAACTAAGAAAGTGTTACACATCTGCTTTGTTCTTATGTGACACATGCGCATGGATGGCTTATCACTTTAAGAGATTTATTTTTTAAGAATGTTGGTCAACTGCAAGGGCTTGCTTAAAGGTTCAAGATGGCTAAGATTTCCCAAAGGTTCAAGATGATTTTAAACCTGTTAAGTTTTCATTATATGGTGACACCTTGGATCGCTGGTACAACCTACCTACTACCTACCCACCTTACGAAGGAAACACATTATACATCTGATTACTTTTGAATAACTCAATTAAATTCAGGCCTACGATATTTCTTTAACATCAATTTCAATAGCTGCAGTTGGACATCTCTTTGCTATGGGTTGAACAGGCACAAGAAGAAAATTTATTAAAGTTTAGATAGATTTTTTTGTTCTGTTTTAAACTAAGGAAAGCAATACATTATATAGTAGACTACTTATACACAACTCAATTAAATGTATATTTTCTAGTCTGTAAGCTTTCCGTAATATTAATTTCAATAGCTATAGTTGAAGTTTTTTTGCTCCACCTTAACTAGTTTTAAGAACGAAACTTGTTTCTCTACTTTCCCCTATCATCATATCTCCATACCTATTGGTGGACACCCTTTTTGGTTTAACTGAACCAGCTATAGCTATAAAAGTATATTGCTTTAAAATTGTTAAGCAGAACTCTATGTGACATTGATTTCAATAGATGTAGGTGCAGTCCTTTTCACTTTCTGCCAGTTCTTACTAGCCAATTAAGGGCTGTATGAACAGAATCCATACAGTTCAACTATAATATGTATAGTTTTTAATTAATAGTTTATGGTGAATGGTTTATAGGTTTCAGATATATTTTCAGACAAGCATATTCATTCGCCAGGAATCTCTCCAATATTGACTGTGTGTATATTAAATATAGTGCTAGTTTTAGTCACACAAAAATGTAGTTTTCTCAACTAAAACAGCACTTTTTTTACAAAAACTTCCTGAAACTGCTTGTGTGCCTGCTGATACATAAATTAAGATTAAAGAAAACACAATTCCGAAGCGAAAAATGTAGATGATTCTGTGATACCTTATACATATATTTATGAATTAGAGAAAGGCTGGTCAAAAGCGAACATACATATAAACATAGTTCTAAAGTTATTTTATTAAATTTACGGACCTATTCTGTGCACTTGACAGATTTGTCAAATTCTTTAATAAAATTTTTGATTTTTATAAAGCAGAAAGCTTTTTGGAATTCTGGACACATCTTGACAAATTTCAAAGCTCAAGTACCTAGTGCTTCTCACCACACTATGGTGTAAAGTGTTTTGTATAGAAAACTGTTCGTAATTGTTCGTTACTGTTCGTAACTGTTCGTAAAAAATGCTTGTCAAGAGCACATATTTCAAGTTGCCAAAAGCATTTTTCATGCACTCAATTAACAATAGAAAATATGCTTGTAAAGAGCATATATTTTAGTTAAGAATATTTGTCATGCATGCAAAAAATAAAAAATGCTTAAAAAGAGCATATTTTAATAGTTGTCAACAGCATTTATAGTATTGACAACTGACAAGGAAAAGAGCTTTTTATTTAAGTCACAGAATATCAGAACCAGTGTGGCCAACATTTGAAAATTTTATCCCCCTAAAAGCCATTCGAAAAACCCCTAAATCCCCCTAAACTAACATTTTGTACAAAATATGAAAAAAATGTAAGAACTGTTTTCTGTAGCATATATATTTTGTATATATTTAAAATAAATATAATTTGAATAAATTTGAAAAAAGAGATAAAAAAACATTTGTTAACGAAATTATTTCAAAACAAGTAATTAAATAGTAATTAATAATAAAGTAAGTAATTAGCAATTACTTAAGTAGTTATTCTTTTAACAACTGATAACAAATTAAATCATATTAAATTTATACTTTCTAATATTTCCTCCATTACACTACAATCATCATGAATTTCCAAATTATTTTTAAAATCGTACATTTTGTAATCAAATTTGTTTAGCATCGCTGGTGTTGGATTAAAATTTATACACGAACCTTGTCTCTGTAGAGTATATCTTACCATCATTAAAGCCTGTAACATTTCAGGTGATAATTTGTTTCTCAATTTGTTTTTAATTATTGAGTAAATGGAAAATGCGCGCTTCACGCTTGCATTTGAAAAAGGTAACGAAAGTAATGCTGTTGCGAATTTGGCTACATTTTTAAATCTGCTATTCCCAGCTGCATCCTTATCCTCACTGACTTCAGCATAAAATTCTTCAGTGTTTGATAAATGTGTCCATTTTTTGTTTTGTAGTTGATGCCATTCATTTTCGACATCCTGCTTTACTCCAAACACATCAGTACGATAAATTTTAAAAAATTCTTGTAAACCAGGTTTAACCTGAGATGTTGCAACTTTTGGGTCAAGATTTGACATCATTTTTAAAATTGATAAATTTTCCGGTAATCGATTTTGAATTTGCTCAGCTAAAACAACTAAAAAATTTTTACATCGCTGTCTTATCTCAGTTAAGTCACTTGCATTAATATTCTGGGCCGCAGATTCAAAGTCATAACCTAAATATATTGATGAAGTATCCATCAAGTAAGGATGAAAATCAAAGTTGGTAATTTCATTGTCTTCTATATTTTGTAATTGAGCTGGAACTACAATTTTTTGAAATACATTTTTATAAAGTAAAAATAAATCTTCAAATAATTTAACTGGCTCTACTTGATTATTTTGAAACAGTAGATTCAACTGAGTAATAGTTTTTAGTTCATTCTTTAAGAAAACAAAATATATTTTGAATTGTATGTTTTTCATGATGTCATGCAATTGATCAGCCATATAACATTTATCTTGCTTTCTAACAATAGAAAAGAGCAGTTCTAATTCGATCCATTGGTCTAATATTGTAGTTATAGCTTGGAAACGAGCCAACCAGCGAGTTCCACTTAGCGCTCCCACTTTCTTAGGATTATTGTTATTATTGATTATTTCATATAACTTTTTGTACTCTTCTACGCGTTTAGAACTGTAAGAAAACCAGTTGTGAACTTCACGAACTAAAAATTCTAATTGCCTAGGCAGCGTTTCGGTAGCCTTTTCTGCACATAAGTGCAAAGAGTGAGATATACACTTAACGACGATAAGATCGGGCAAATCTTTTTTCAAAATAGTGGCAACAGATTTGTTTTTGCCGATCATCACATTGGCACCATCCACACCTATTCCAATTAGATTTTGAAAATTTAGATTGTCACTTTGTAATTGAGCTTTTATGGCATCACATATACTCTGAGCATCAAATTCAGTTAATTTAATTATTCGATAGAAAGTAGTAACTATATTCTTTTTCGGCATGGAGAAAAAACGTATCATTGTACAAAGAATTTTTAAAGTAGAGATATCGGTACTCTCATCGATAATAATAGAGTAAGCAGAATCGCCAATTTCTTGCACTAAATCTTGTAACATACAAGGACTGAGCACATTTTTTATTATCATAGTACACTTTGTTTTGTGCAGTTTCAATTTAGATAAAGTCTCCGATGTTTTATCTAACTTAGGTAGAATTTCCGTCAAATGATTAACAGTGTGTATAGAAGCATGTTCTGCAATAAAAGCCGTTATTTTTAATTCTGCAATTTTGATTGTTTCTGAATCTATTGTTTTAAATAGAGTTGGAAGAGTATAACATGACTTTGCGCTTTTATGTGCCTCAACAGATTTGTTATGTTTTTCTGTACTAGCATGAGCAACTAAATCTTTTCTGTCCGCTTTTAGATTTATTCGACAATATTTACATATTGCCATACTATTGTTCGTTATATCTGGTGAAATCCATTCTGTAAATTATATTTCATTAGAGAATATGTGTAGTAAAATAAAAAATTTGAAACGCTCTAGTATTATTACGACCCAAATATCATATTCTATAGATGTTTTTGTGCTATGGTAGTAAACAATATTTTTGTACCTATATAGTTTTCTATAGTTTAAGATATCGGAAATTAAAATAAAAATTTTTTATCAACCTTTCAATAATACATCTGATTCCCACGCTTTGGTATATTTTTGGTAATATTTTTTACTACTTGCTTTCGACATGGTTTTAAATTTTACTAAAATCACTTTAAAAATGAACGATCCCGGCTATCAAAAAAATTCCAAAAAAAACATTGCTCGCTGGCAATTAGTGTTGCCATGCAGCTTGTTCTTTTTGTTTTCGTACTGTATTTACACACTATCGGCGTTTATATATACCTTATTTATATATAATAAAAAATATTTAATGTGTGTTATTACTAACATAGTTTTTTGAATTGAAAAAATTACAATATTTTTAAACCCCCTAAAAAAACCCCTAAACATTTGGTGCCCCCAAAAATACCCCCAAAACAAATTTTTCCTCCTAAATTTGGGGGGAAAACCCCTAAGTTGGCTCCCCTGATCAGAACCTTTAGAGCAGTCAATTTTGACAAGTGTCAATGTTTGACAAGTTTATAAAGTGCACAGAATAGGTCGGTTAGTGTAAAGTAGCGAATATCAAGATCCAACAAAATTAAGGCATTGGACCATGTAAACCTACGAATTGACAAGCCTGTCAAAGATTCCAACTGTAGATATTTCAAAATATATTTCAATAGTCTTTAAAAAGAAAAATTTCATGAATGATCACAAAACGATTTCTGTGCGTTATTTGAACAGAAGAAGAATCGCTTTCATCATTAAATTCATATAGCAGAAAAATACTTTTAAAGAAATGCATATGCCAGATTACTTTTTGGTGTCGGATTACTAGATTATTTACTTTGATATATTTTTCTATAAGCTTAAATTATCAGTCACAACACCAATCATTCTCCAATTCAAGTGATATTTTATGGGCTTAAGATAATTGTAATGCCAATATTATTCGAATAAACCGTTTTCCGGATATCGAGTTAATGAATATACCATATAGGTTTTTATCGATATTATCGATGCACAATTTATAAAAAATAAAAGAAAACGTCACTCTAGGAAGATAAAGAAGAAGAAAGAATGAGAGAAAAAGAACATTATAGTATACAAAAAGAACTCAAAAGATTTATATGTATAAATATTATATGAAATAATTATAATTTTTATATCGGGTTCTTTCGTAAGGGAGAAGAGTTCAGAATTATTGTCATTAAATAATAAATAATATGAAATACTAGGAAGCATATACTGGGGACTATCTATCAAATGACGATTTCAGAAAAACCCCACGGAAAAATCTGATGCTCAAATTTTTTTAAATATTTCAAATGAAGTCTTATTAAATACTTTCAATTACACTAAGTAAAACTTGCAAAAATACTAATTTACTTTTAAAAAAAATATTTTTTAGATTTTAATATTGTAGTAACATTGACAGTGCCAAGTGACATGTCAAAACCATCGGGAATTTTAATTCCTAATTCCATCTTTGTTGGCGGGTTACTGTTGTTAACTTTACGCAAATAGCAACAACAACAACTATGGCTTTATAAAATTTAAGGATATACGCATATGAAGTAAACTGGAAAGCCAGTGTACCCGTTATAGAGTTGCAAGTTATTTTCTCATCTAAAATTGTGTTTACTCTCGAAGGATATACGCACGTAGTCAACAGCACATATATTAATGACTTTTCACATGCAATTCTATATGCGCATCCTTATGTGCATAACCTTCTTAACACTTTCCTGTGGCAGTCTAATATGGTTGTTGTATGTTTATGCTAATATATGAGAATATCTTCATATACCTATGCTTAATGCCTGCTTGAAACGCAAAAGACATTTGGGAGCAACGTTAGCAATAAGGAGTAACTTTGACTGATGTGCACAGCTACACATAAAGGACTACACACTTTACGTAAGTAATATAAATAAAAAACAAAGGTAAGAATATCGTATCTGTGAGGTTGTACTTTTTGCCATATTAGCTACCCAAAACGCATAAAGTAACATAATTTGTCAGCACGAGTAGATAAGGTTACGTTGCTGGAATAACAATGGGATCTTTCATATAAAATGTAAACACTTGTAGGAACTTCCTTGCTGATTGAAGGGCTTCAATGTATTTCCTACACGCAGCGCTCATACATTTTGTATTTGTCTAAATGCAAGGTTAAAAGGAGAAATTATGTCACATAAAATGTATTTTATGATCATAAATGCAAGTGAAGACGAGGCAAATGAGGTTCAGTTTTTAAGTCTCCAGATACACGATTTCAATATGTAAGACTTAAAAATTTAAAAAAAATAAAAAATGAGGGAAAGAAAATACAAGGCGTTAAAGTTGCCTCTTAAGATTTTAAACAAAGTAACTTGTTAGCACTTAAAAAAATTTAATATAGTTGGTTTTCAACGCGAACCTGTGACATCCTTTAGAATCCAATTTTAGAAACCAATTAGGATATTAAACCCTTTTAGATTTTATGTGAATAGAGGAAGTCTTAAAAAAGTAACGTTTGCATAATTTTTATAACTTCAATTTCAGCAAAAATAATTTTAACAGTTCGTGAAAGGGTTCTCGTTGACATTATCAAAATTGGGACTATAAAGAAGCAGTTGGGTGAGTAGGAAAATAAAGGTATATGTATATCCATTTTTATTATAGTAGTCCGATAATATAACAACTGTTACTAAATAATATTAAATTATAAATTATAGTTAACATAACAGCAATTAGTTGTGAAAACTCGGGAAAGAATTACTTTTGGGAATTAAAATCGTGTTATAAATATACCATAGTGTATTATATGGACGATGGCTAAGTATATTCTAACGAACTCAAAAATAACAGATCAAATTGTAATAAGAAGAGGTATATTATGGTTTCATGATTTAACACATTAAAAGCGCAAAAATTGATGTCAATATGTGATATGTAAAAAATATTCACTAGATATAGAGTGTGATAAATCCAGATTGGGCCCACACTATCGAATCTCCAGTAGGACAAATCGACGGGTGTTTAAAAAGAGACACTGGAACATCTATTCTGGCTATGTTTCCGCTTATTCAGGACATAAAATCATTTTATAGCAAATCATTGATTTGCTATTTCATGCCTTAATATATTAACTACTACAATTTCTGACTGTGAAAGTACAACATGATTGGTGGGAAGAACCTCACATCTGATAAAAAATACAATAAATATTTATAAAATATTAATTTTAGCTAGAAGCACATTAATCAACTGACTTAGCGTCTAATAAAAATGATAAATATTATCAAAGTATAATGACTTTATAATTTTATATAATATGATATTATTATATCTGTTAAACTTAACATACCCATATGTCTTGTTATTACTGGTTCTCTTTAATAATTATTATGTTAATGGAAGTAGCTAAAGCAATAACATAAACAAAGCATATAAATTAAAAAGCAATTAATATTCAATAACATAGGCTCTGATAATAACAGCAACACACCAAAAATTACAATATAACAGTGATGGTGTATATTAAGCAGATGACTTCTAATCAATTTATAGCTATATATATGTATGTAAATTTAATCTAAATCAAAAACCTATAAATATAAAGTCATTTAATTTGCCTCTGTTAAAAAAATCATGGGAAATACACGCAATGGGAAATTTCTATGTTTTTGATTTAAATTATTTTGATCCATTTTTGAAGTCAGTATCTATTAAGTGCATTTTTTACAGAAATAAGTACTAACGTTATTACTTCAACATTATATTTGATAACATTCTATGTAAATTCTGTTATGCCACATTTCTTTAAATAATAGCAAAAAACTGCACCAATAAGTATCAGAAAACAGTTACTGTATTAATTTTTGTTGTTGTACAAAAGAGGAATATATAGATATATTATGTTGTTTGAATATATATATATATATATATGTATATTCTTATATTTCGAAAAATACATATCAGCGTCTTATATGAGTCAAAATATGTAAATATTATTATAATGATAATATCAATTAAAAGTGATTTAACATGTTTGAACATACCTATATTTATATATAAGTGCGTATGTTTATATTTCGAAAATACATATCATACTTGAATTAAAATTTGTGTATATTATTATTCAAATATTATGAATTAAAAGTAAATGTATTGTACTCACATATGATTAACCAATTAAGCGAAAATAAATAGTGGTGAAAATCGTTTACTTCCTTAAATTCACTTTAGTACAATTAAATTATAAATTTATTAACAAAAAACAAAAAAAAAAAACAAAAAATACAAATTGTTTTAATTGTAATAAATTATTAAAGAAATTTGAATTATAAGATTTCATCACGTTTATAACAGTTTTGTATAATTCACTTTAAAAAAACTTAAGTGCAGTCAATAAAAGTTGCGGTGTGCGTTGCTTGTAGTTGACAAAAAAAGAACTAGAAATGCGTTGAGTAAACGCATTTTTACTCACCCCTACTTGATCAGTGCAACCCATAGCATGGTGCTGCTCAGCTGTGGTGAAAAAGCAGTATAGCAAAGCTCTCTGTAAAAACTTTTCCTTGAACCCAATGAAGCCACATCGAATAGATTTTTTTATTGTTTTAATTGATTTTGAAGCTTTGATAAGAAGCTGTCATTAGTCTCTCATTGAAGTGAGGTGATGTTGGTCATCTGTGGTTACTCGCTTTCAATATCTTTCTGTTAAGTTTTTTGTTGTTGTGCGTATGTTAACGGAAAACAGCTATTAAATATTACTAGATTGTTGTTGTTTTTTTTTATTGAACTATAAAAAATTACTTTGTGAACGATATTAAGAATTTATGTATTATATTTTTAAAAAGTGTTATGAAAATCTTTATTTGAATTTAAAAAGTTAATTAAACATTGTCAACTAAAAGCACTAAAGGTAAGTGTTTTAAGCATATTTATATCTATATATTTTTATATATATTCATATATGGAAATATTAATTAAATATTATTTATTCAATAATTGTGTTTATTAGCATAATAAACAATATGATTATTAAATTATTTAATTATTTGTTTTTGATTTTAAAAATAATTTATATATTAAAAAATTAAAGAACCGATGGAATTTTATAGTAATTAGTTTAATATTTAATTATTATTTGTAATTAT